GTATGAAGAAGTTATGAATTTTTGCACAGTTTTTTACAGTGTAATCTTCATAGACTCTAAAATTAAAAACAAAATAAGAATTGACCAACAGAGTGTAAATGAAAGTTGTACTACTTGTCGGTACAAAATCAGGGATATAAGGAACATCGAAAATGAAGCTCGTATGTGAAAGATATGATTTTTTGTAGTTTTGAAATTTACCAAAAAAATGCGACCAAGATGGCGCCACGTGTCATGATCTGAGAGGAAGGCTTGCCACCTAGGCAAGGGCACGGAACGCCTATGTTAGGGGCACGGCGTGCCTCCCAATATGGCAACGTATAAATAGAGTTTCAAACTTGATTCTTTCTTCACACAATCTTTTCTTAACCTTTCTCTCTAGTTACGATTTTTCTGCGGTTTATCGGGGTTCCCGAGAATTTTACTGTTTTGAGGCTCTAAAGAATTAGAGAGCACGGAGAAAAAGAGTAATCGGAGTTGGATTTAAGTTGCACTTACTATTCTTTAAGTGTAACTTATATTTATATCCATAGTCGCTATTATGAACCTATAAATAAGGTGTATCAATGATTCCAGCCATACTACTAATTTATTTACTTAGGGGACCGATGCCTAAGCTAGATCTAGTGGGATGTTTAAAGTGGATTTTCCAAACAGTATACTCTATATACTAAACGGATCCTACATCCGATATAATCTTACTTGGTTATTCCTTATTTGATAGAACTTAAGTATTCATTGGGATTATTGGGGAATCTGGAAATAGTTTATATAACATTCTAAATATGAACAAACACTGAGACATAGTAATATTCGTATTTACTTTGTTTAAAACAGAGATGAAGTCTCAAACAATGAGTTGGCCGAACCATGGATCTTTCACCTCAGTCAGGTGAGTGCATAGTTACTTTCATGAAAAGGATTTTAATACAAGTATTTATTAAAAGTATTAAATATATGTTAAATTTTTATATGTGGATTAAATGTTTAAGATCTGGAATATGTGTAAACTTAGAATCTTTGGGCATACTGCCTACTATCATGTTAGTGAGGAAAAACTTGAAGCAAGAGACAAAAAAGATAATTTTCATGGGATATGCATCAGCTGTAAAAGGCTATCACCTTTGGTTTTTGGAAGATTCAAAGTTTATAATTAGCAAATATGTTACTTTATGTGAACTTAAATGTAGCTTCTTCGAAAGTTATGGTGCCAAATGGTGATGACATTGAGACGGTCAAGTCTCAAGTAGTTGATATAGATTATAGAACCTAAAAACCAACAAGGTTCTAGTTTTATTCACGAGGAAGATAATGGTGGTATGCACAACGATATTGAACATGAGACGGTTCAGATAGAAGATGTACACGAACCAAAGGAACAAGAGCTCGATGACAGTTTCGTCTCTACTAGGACGATGCGAGCGTATAAGAAAGTTCAAATGTTGGGGTTTAATCAACTTTTGAAGCACTACGGATAAGAAAATTTGGTTGAGTACGCATTCTCGATGTAGGAAGATGATTTGATTTCCTTCAAGGAAGCTATTTGGAATGACAATAGTGAGAGTTGGCTAGCTAATTGAGTCTCATTAGAAGAACTAAACTTAGGAAGTGGTCCCATTGCCCATAGGGAAGAAAGCTATTGATTGTAAGTGGGTGTACAAGAAAATAGAGGACCCTTCTGAACTCCGTGGTACAAGGTACAAGGCAAGGGTAGTGGATAAGTGGTTTTCACAAAGAGAGGGGGTTGACTATAATGATATATTTTCTCCGGTAGTGAAACACACTTCCATTTGGGTGTTGTTGAGTATTGTTGGTGATGGTGATTTACAGTTGGACCAACTCGATGTAAAAATGCTTTCTTACACGAAGAATTGGCTGAGGAAATCTATATGCATCAACCACATGGATATAAGGTCGTGGATAAGGAAGGTCAAGTATGTCGCTTGAGGAAATCACTGTATGGATTGAAGCAGTATGCTCGGTAGTGGTACAAGCAATTTGACCCCTGCATGTTGAAGCATGGATTTTCCAAAAGTCGGTATGACTGTTGCGTTTATATGTTGAAACTTTGTGGAAGTGATTGTGTATGTATTCTTTTGTATATGGATGACATCTTATTGCTTTGAAGAGCGAGGTGGAAATAGATAGGCTGAAATCTCAACTTGGTAAAGAGTTTGAGATGAAGGACATAGGAATTTCCAAGAAAATATTTGGTATGGAGATTAGAAAAGAGAGGTCAAACCATCAATTGTTCTTGAGCCAGAAAGTCTATATAGAGCGGGTTATTATGAGGTTCGGGATGCAAGATACCAAGTCAATGGTGACTCCATTGGCTCCACATTTTAGGATCTCTAGTAGACAAGTTCCTTATGATAGTGCAGTTAGTAGTTTCATGTATGTCATGGTGTTTAGACATCCAAATATTTCATAGGTGATAGTGTGGTCAGTGTGGTCAGCAGGTTCATGGTGAACCCGAAGAATGAACATTAGGAAGCTATAAAATGGGTCATGATGTATTTAAAAGGAACCACTTATATGGGTTTATGCTTTGATGGAGATACATATGGAATTACTAAATTTGTGGATTCAAATCATGTTGGTGATATGGATAGATATCAGTCTAGTCTACGATGTCCGGTTAGTTGGCGATCGATGTTACAAGAAACATTAGCACTTTCTACTACAAAGTCCGAGTACATGACTATAACAGAGGGAGTTAAGGAAGCATTATGGTTGTGGGGTTTCTTATATGATTTGGGGATTGAGCAAAAGATTGTGTAGACTTGTGGTGAGATAGTCAAAGTGCAATTCACTTATTTAAGAATCAAGTTTATCATGCTCGTACCAAACATATAAATGTCAGATATCATTTTGTGCGGGATGTCATAGAGGATGATGGTATTTTTCTTATGAAGCTACATACAAATGAGAACCCAATATACATGTTAACTAAGGTGGTACCAGATGGCAAGTTTAAGCATTGCTTGAACTTGCTTAATATCAATCAATGTTGATTGCCCTTTAGGGAAATGGCCTTGTGGGACGGTGTCAGGGTGAGGTGGAGTTATCACCCGGTGAGATGAACTATGATGGCTTGATCCCAAGTGAGGGTACATAATCAGCCATGGGCAAATGGTGCATCCGGATTGAGTTCTACATATCAAGGTGTGCATTTTTTTTTTGTGAATCGTCTAAAATTTTAGGTCTATCAAATGATGTTCAAGGTGGAGAATTATAAGTTTGTAACCCAGTTATTTATTTAACATCCCAGCTCTTGACCTAAGTAATATGGCCCATATATCTTGTTATGTGATACTCGGTGAAGAGAGGCATGGAAAAATATAGTATCACATAAATTGTAGAGGGAAAAGTGAGGTCAGTTTCTTAACTTAATACAAAAGGCTTTATCTTCTCTTGTGGGTGTAGCCAAGTTTGTTGAACCACGTAAATCTTGTGTTATTCTCTATTTACTTTCATTCCTTGGTTATTGTCATTGTTTGTATTTGGGCCTAAGAGCAAGAACAGGAATCTGATCACAAAAGGCACGATTAGTTGCTTTTTTTTTTTTTCTGTTTTCTACATTGTTTATGCTGAAACAAGTTATACATTTATTACCTTTTGATCACCAAGAAATTCTTGTTTCAGAATCGCCTACCAGGTTAGAGGTTGCAGCAACAGTATATGAGAAAAATTATCATAGTTGTTGTCTTGTTCTGCCAATTCTACATACCCTTTTAATTTCCACCAAATCTCATTGCTCTTGGAACTTTTCAATATTGTCTTCATTTTGAGGCTCCACGGACGCTATCCCCCCCCCCCCCCCCCCCCACCCTCCCCAAGCACACAAATGGACACTAAACTTTTAAGGGTTGAATTGAAGAACTCGTGTCATTGCTTATCATGGCTGGAAACAGTGGCTGAGAAAAATGGGTCAGATACAAATTTGTTGTAAAAGAAAGTTTTAACGATAAATAACAGAGTACAAACAGAGAGCGTAACTATTAGAGATCTGCAAATTCTATCACGGTGAGAAGAATACAAAGCTTTTATAAAGATAAAAAAAAAATTGCGAAGTGCTAAAAGCAAGCATCTGCGAGAACATGGACCACTTAATTGAAATAAACTAACCATTAACAAGAACATAAAAGTAAACACTTAAGACTAACACTGGGTTATAGTTGGATGCTTGAGCACAACTATTCAACATTATGCCAAAAAAAAAATCACATGGCATGAAATTATATATTCATTGTGCTTGTTCAATAGCTTAAAGTCCACCGTCTTCCTTTTCTCAATGGTCATCATCTACGAATTGTGTAAGGTCGTTTTCCGAACTGATATTTCCACCTTATGCTCAGGTTACATGAAATCGATAATCCAAAAAGACATTTGTGAATCTAGGCACAAAACCACAAGCCAAATTGATAGACGAATTATGGGTTTGTTATAGAAGAGAGAGAGAGAGAGAGAGAGAGAGAGAGAGAGAGAGAGAGAGAGCTGAGAAGGGTCTCCTATGGCTCTATAGAGAAGTCATATTTATACTTGATAGACTGTGGTAAGCATCTTCTACATTAGTTAAATAAATCACGAATAAAGGCATAATCAATGGTTTCCAAAACTGATGAGATTTGTTAATCTCACCGTAATTACCCACTAGAATTTGGATTTACCACTGCGAGGGGCTCTACCCATTAGATCCTGCTAGGGGCGTTGCCCCTAGGACCCTGGAAGAGGGCGCGTCCCCCTTAACCCCTGTCATTCTATCATACCGACTTATCATTCAATCTTATATATGTGTGCACTCCGCACTCACCAAACATATTATATAGAGTACAAATTATAAGCCCCTTAGCTCATATATTAGTTCCAATTACACAAAATATCTGGTTACACTAAAATCACCAACAATATGGAGCACCATAATAACTAAATTGGTTATTTAATCATTCCTTTTTTTTTTTTTTTTGCTTCCTGTCATGATTTCTATCTTTGATCCTTAGAGAGATCCAAGGTAGTGGTCTAGAAGGACAAATACCCGAAACTCTTTCCTTCTTGAGAAAAATAACAGAACTGTAAGTTAAACAGGTACTCCCTCCATCAGGATATTCAATTCTTTATATTCCTGCAATAAGTACTAATTAATCAACATGCCTTTATGTAATCTATGTGCAGACGAATTTCTGATTTAAGTGGAGAGGGCTCACATTTTCCAAATCTGAGTAGGATGGCAAACATGACTAAGTTGTAAGTGATAGGATTTAGAAATCTATTAACAAGTCTTTAATTTCAAAACCGGTACCTTCATAAACTTTGCTGGATGTTGCAGGATGTTGAGAAGCTGCAATATAATTGGGACTATTCCAGGTTATATATCGCAAATGTCCAATTTGAGCCATCTGTAAAAGTCCTCCCTGTCTAGACCATATGCATTGTATCTTATGTCTTTGTACATTATGATCTTCTTTAGTCTATGTTTAAATTTCCTGAAGTATTTCTTCCATATATATTCACATACTTGCACAGAGATCTCAGTTTCAACAATCTGAATGGTGATATACCAGATCTAAGTGAAAAGCATGTTAAAAAAATGTAAGAAAGATATGCATTTACTTTTTCCCAGTATTATTTTCTTCAAAACTATTATATTATTGATCACCGAATCATCTATATTTGCCATGGTATTCTGCTCTTAAGTATCTTTGAATTGTTGAAATGACTCGGCATCTGATTTGACTAGATATCTGACTGGTAACTCCCTGGAAGGCAGTCTTCCTAAATGGATCGCAGATAAAGATCTGTATGTTTTTTCGACCCTCGTTTTCATATTAAATTTTCTTAGAAGACACGTTTGTAATAATTCATAGGCACTGATAGGTCATGTACTGTAATGCAGTGTAGATCTTTCCTACAACAACTTTAGTAAAGACACTGTGCCACAAGATTGCAGTGAATCACTGTAAGTTTTCAGAACTCAAATGATCTTTTCATATGTACACATACAAATTGAAGTTAAAGTTTCTTTCATTTATTAGGAACTTATTCAGAAGCTACTCAAGTGGGAATAACTCGTAAGCTTAAACCCTACTACTATGCATCAAATGAATGAAAATTCTATTGAATAAGAGAGGCGCCAAGTTTTCATGTTTAATTTCTTGCAGTGACCTTGTGAAGTGCCATAGCAGCCTTCAATGCTTAGAAGGTGATGAACATGCTTTCAAGTTTTTTTTATAAAAGTATAGCAAAGCTGATCTGCTTTATGTTTCTCCAGACTACTATTCAGTTTATATCAATTGTGGTGGGCCAGGAGTTACCATTGGAAACAAGACTTATGAAGCAGATGAATATCTAGGTGGACCTGCAAATTTTTTTCCTTCAAGTGATCGTTGGGGATTTAGTAACACAGGAAGTATATGGTCTGGTGATAATAGTGATTCACATTACATAGAAAATAATGCATCTGTACTCACTATGAATGACTATGAACTTTACACAAGAGCTCGCCACACTCTGCTTTCTCTCACTTACTATGGTCGTTGCTTGGCAAATGGAAAGTATACTGTGACTCTACATTTTGCAGAGATAGTTTTCAGAGACAGCCAATCTTACAAGAGCCTTGGAAGACGTGTTTTTGATGTTTATGTTCAGGTTGAATTTTCTTTTTTTTTCTTGAACTTTTAGAAGTGGACGATTTTCATATATCAATTAGATATATTTGTATCGATTCTGTTAGTGAAGACTTCCCATTTTGTGCAAGAGACTTGTATTTTGTTGGATTTCACTTATGCTTTCTCCTTTTTGCAGGGTGTAACCAAATTGAAGAACTTTGATATAAAGATTGCAGCAGGTGGGGTTGATAAGGAAGTAAATATAACCTTAAAAGGCATACTTGTTACTAATAAAACATTAGAAGTCCGGTTCCAATATGCTGGAAAGGGTACAACAGCTGTCCCATTGAGAGGGGCTTATGGTCCTCTTATATCTGCCATTTCTATGGTCGCAGGTATGCTTATTCTCCACATATTTTAACTTATCTTTTTTTTTTCACAGACATTTATTATGTGTATAATTGTCATTTCTATAATATTGATGATCATCAATTGATAATATGTTCAAGCGGCTTACTAATACATTTTTCCGTTAGAGTTCAAGCCTATAAGTCATGGGAAAATAGCTCATGGGAAAATACCTCAATGGAAAAAATATGCATTTGTTGCCATTGGAGTGGTGGCAGCAGCTTTGTGTCTAAGTTTCCTAATTCTTGGCATCGCATGGAAGAGGGGTTATATAGGGGACCAAAATTCAAGAGAAAAAGGTGTTTAATTACTATTTAATTTAAATCGTGCCATATACTTGTTTGTTTGTGAAATACATTTGTTTCATTGGTAAAATATTGTTTCCCTGTAGACCTAAGAGGATTGGATTTGCAGACTGGTGTATTTACATATAGACAAATCAAGGCTGCCACCGACAATTTTGCTGATTCAAATAAACTTGGGGAGGGTGGTTTTGGATCGGTTTACATGGTAACATTGTAAATGCATTAAATTTTCTTTTTAACAATTCACATTGTGAAAAATCTACAAAACTTCAGTGGTAACTTTTTCTGATGTAAAAAGATAAAATATGAAAGAATATGAATCATACTAAAGTGTACATCTATTTTTCTGATTGCAGGGTACCCTATTAGATGGAACTCCAATTGCTGTGAAGAAACTCTCTTCGAAATCAAAGCAAGGAAATCGTGAATTTGTGAATGAAATAGGCATGATAGCTGGTATACAACACCCAAATGTTGTAAGGCTATATGGCTGTTGTGTGGAAGGCAACCACCTACTACTTGTTTATGAGTACATGGAGAATAATTCTCTAGCACATGCTCTATTTGGTATTCTCCTTTCCATATTCTTCTTAAGTAATAACTCTCTCACCCTATAAGAACTTTGAAGTTTATATTTCACTTTGTACATTAAAATAATTTTATCATTGATCAAATGTCTTAAATACTAATTAGTAATAATGGACCAAAAAAGATCCAGCAAAAATAGACCCAACCTTTTTCAAACTCAATCTATTTTCTGGTTTACAAATTAAACAGGTCAACCCCTTATGCATGAAAAAATAGACTGGTCTAAACCGCACCGAATGTACAAAGACATAAGATACAACGCATAGGGGGGGGGGGGTGTTCCCTTGCCTATGTGGCACTGAGTCCGGCCAAACCGCAGTCCACTCCCTTGAGCCTTAGTAACTTTGAACAGTTACTTGGATTCGTTATATATTTAAGTAATGTCTATGTCTAAGGTTTTGTGTTTTTTAAATTTCAAATCTAAATGGGTCAGCACAAGTACAATGTATCTGGTACATCTAACTGGTTGGGTCGGGAAAAAAAAGAAGATGGAAATCTAACATCCTATTAATTGAACAGCTTTGGTTTTGGATGAAAATCTCAATCTGTTTAATTAAGCAGGTAATCCAACATGACCCATTGTAATCGACAATGAAAATAATCATAATGATGATAATGAGACATATTAGGTTGAACATTTGCCAAAAAAACCAAAATGTTACAGATTATATAGGACACCCCAAATTGGGTATTGTGGCAACTTTAGTTTTCCATTCACAACTTGACTAAAATTCTTACATAAAATCTCAGAGCACAATAACTCTAAGTTAGAAAGTGATTGGCCTACAAGACAAAGAATTTGTGTTGGCATTGCAAAAGGCTTGACATTCTTGCATGAGGATTCGGTGCTCAAAATGGTTCATAGGGACATCAAGGCTACAAATGTACTCTTGGATGCTGACCTTACACCAAAGATCTCAGATTTTGGTTTGGCCAAACTTGATGAAGAAGAAAACACTCACATTACCACTAGAGTTGCTGGAACTATGTGAGTAGTAGTCTTGTTGTTCCTTCTAATTATATTATCTTCAATATTCATTTGTTCATTTTGGTTTTGGTGCTTCAGAGGGTACATGGCACCCGAGTATGCATTACGGGGATACTTAACCTACAAAGCAGATGTATACAGTTTTGGAGTTCTTGCACTAGAAATTGTTGTAGGAAAGAGTAATATGAAATATCGGCCAACTGAGGATTATTATTGTCTTCTTGATTGGGTGAACCTCTGTCTGATAGAACTATAGTTTGATTTTTCCCCACAAACCCCAACTTATTGACTGGGTCTTATGATATATTTGTTTGCTCTTTTTAAGGCTGTTGTTCTGCAACAAAAGGGGAAATTGATAGACTTGGTGGATCCAAGATTGGGCTCTGAATTCAACAAAAAGGAGGCAGTGCGGATGATCAAAATTGCTCTATTATGCACTAATAAGGCCCCGGCTCTTAGGCCTACCATGTCTGAAGTGGTTAATATGCTTGAGGGTCGTACTAAAATAAAAGAACCAAACATGAATGTAATTATGCTGAGGAGGAATTGATGCTAAAAGAAATTGGACCAAAGTTTCACGAGATGAAGCCCCATGAATCTGATCAAACAGAGATTTCTATTGAACCAACAGCTTTCAGCTCGCACGACCTGTATCCTGATAGTCAAATTTCTGAAAAATGTTGATGTGTACTGGCGTAAGCATCAGTATACTAGTTAAGTTCTTAATACTACTTCTATAATGAGATGCTTATATTTCATTTTAAGGATTTTGAATATCTTGTTGTGACACTAATACAGTATGAAGCATATAGTTATATACATGTGTGCATTGAAACAATATCTTTGATCATTCAATCCCCTGCGGCTTCTCATGCTAAAACGCTGGTCAGCTCATTGTTCTTTGCTGTTTGACTTTTCTTGATTTGGATCTAGCTTTTCGAGTATGATGGAAAAACTATGAATCCAATAAGGTGTTTATGGTATTATATATATACAAGTAAGTTCAAATGAAAACAGTAAATAGTATGAAAACGTAAAAACATTATGTTTATATTATTATTTTGCAATGAATGTTGTATATGTGTATTGTTGAAGTAATTCTAATATAAATATTAACGTTTGATTATTCATATATTCATTAGAATGTTATTATTCTATTATAAATTTATGTATGTGCATTTTTGTAGTAAATTCTAAATTTAGTTTTAACATCTAAGTTTTTATTTATTCATTATTGAATTATGACATAAAGTTGTGCAAACAAAATTCGTCACAAAATAATAACATAAAAGTAGTGTTTTTATGTTTTCACATTATTTACCGTTTTTATTCGAACTATATATATATATATATATATATATATATATATATATATATATATATATATATATATATATATATACACACGCTTTAAATTCCAAGAAATGGTAGTCAAGAATGTAATCAGAGAACCCAAGTTCAAAAAATGAGCTTTTAGGCAAAGAATGGCAACGAGTGAGGTACATGGGTCTTTGCAAATGGTTGCACCAGTATTCGATCGGATGAAAAGGTGGGGTCTGCTGTCTGTTGTCACGAATTCTACTATGGATAAAAATAACCAGTATAATGACACTAAAATTGATGAGATAAAAGATGAGCTTGTGGTAGTGGGAGCTATGGACTCTAGTATAATTTAATTGCTTGCCAACCGCTTGAATGTAGATAGGTTCTAAAAATGCTTCCTACTTAAGACCAGTCATTGTTACCCTTGACCAGGACGAAAGCAGGAAAAATGAGTAAGAAACTGTGCAACCACAAACAAGGTCGTGTAGGAATTTTTTTTTTTTTTTTTTTTGAGAGAGAGAGGGGGGGGGGGTATGGAATGAAGATGAAACCCTGCAAACAAAAATTAACCATACCATTTTATGTATATATATCTAAGATGTCCTTTTTAGTCATTTACATGAATAAGCTGAATTTGTAACACTAAAAAACAACTTGTTAGTTTACACTACTACAAAAATACCCTTAAATGATATGTATTACGTGTCATAAAACCCACAGACGACACAAATGCGTGTCTCTGTCATAAAGAAAGACGACACACATTTGTGTGTCGTAACCTTACGACACGCATTTACAACGCACATAGATGACACGCAATGTGTATCAAGGAAGCCCCTGTCATAAAGGATGATGACATGCATTTGCGTGTTGTAACCTTATGGCATGCATTTGCAACACGCGTTGCATTTCATCATTTTAAATGTTTTAAAAATATATATTTAAATTTTTTTTATAGATTTACTAGTTTTCAAATTAAATGAAATTAATATCTCATAACACAACATAAAATACATTATATAACAAAAAAATCTATTTCATACAATAAATGTATCAACATTCATTCTTCTAATCCACTTTGTGTTTTATACAAAAAATCTATTTCATACAATAAATGTATGATCTAAAGAAACCATTTTCTTATTTCCTCTTTGCAACCTAGGACGAGTATAAGATAGTAAATCGTCCTTGTGTATCCGATCTTTAAATAAGCAAAGCTTTCTTGAAATCATGACACCTCTTTTTACCTAACCATAATGGCAGAACAGATACAAAGGCAAAAAAAAAAATATAAATATAACCTGATTAATAAATGATTTGAGCACAACATAGAATGGGAAATAGCAATTGCTTCTCTCACCTTTTTTGACATACATACAAACCAATGTGTTAAACGCCCATTATGTATTCAAGGGTAAAATAGTAAAAGCAACTCACATGGGCACTAGGATGGCTCATTCTATCCGGTAACTCCTGGAATAATTTATGATGGAGTTCAACTTCTAATAATAGCACCCTTGGAAGTGAGACTTCCATTAAAACAGCACAAAGGAAATAGTATCATTTGGCAACAACAGTAGTGGTTACTGTTTGAGGTAATGGCTCTATTAAGAAATTTTTAATTTGATTACCTTTTTTACACCAATGTAATCTGAAATGGCCCAGATTGTCTAACTAGACATGCGAGAAGTTCTTGGAAATCTAAAGGCGGAATTACCTTATAGATTAAAGTGAAATAAACAGAAGATTTAGCATAAAGATTTTCAATTAATGTAAAAAATAAAGGAATATTAAGCAAAATAATATGATTGGAGATATTGGTAGATGTAGCATTTGAGCACTTTGGTACTTTTAAAATTGATTTCTAAATAAATAATGAAAAAATCATGTAAGAAAAAGCATAACAATAAAAGGGGGTTGATTTCAAAAAAGATGAGTCCTAAGAAGTTTAAATCTTAAAGAAGTCAATAATAAAGTACTTTAAAGCATGTATTCAGGTGTGTTCATAGAGAGAGAGAGAACAAAAACTTAAAATATGGCAGTTTTGCCAAAATGTCCTCGTATAATTTTTTGTCCTTGGTTTGGAATTACTCCAACAGCAACATTAGATAAACTTGTGTGTAGATGAGTTTAAAAATATGAAATATTTAGTTGGAACTTTAATTTAATTACATTTTCTATTTAATTTAAAGTGTTATATGGGTAATTGGCTCTCTTTTTTTTTCAAGTTACTTAGTTTTCTCTTCAAGTAACCATTCTTAAAAACACATTTTATTATGATATATATGGAAAGTATTGAAAGTTTATTTGATATCAAATATGATAAGTGTCTTGTAGATTGATTATTGCTTACTATAATCAATTAAGTAGGGTACATTTCCATTAAGTAAATAAGAAACAACTTGTTTACCTTTTAGATTTTTTCATTCAATCTTTGATCTCCAAAGGGAATTCTAACAATCACAATCTGCCACTTCCCAATAAAACCATCCTCATTAAATACATGTCCATGAGCTTCCTGTGCTTCAAGGGTAGTTTCATCCCAAACTGCTACATATCATACCTGCATACACCATTATGTGAGTATGCGGACATTAGAATTAAGGATTTATAAATTAATAGTGACAACATCACAATAATTAAAAGGATTTACAACCACAGAAGCAGCAACAAGTCCACTAATATGAGTCATATCCATCATCAGAAAAGCACCAACAGCAGCTGCAATCTTTTCAAGCGCAAAAATCATACATGTCATTGTTATATAAGTAAGAAAAATACTCAATGCTCAATATTTTGGCCAACGGTAAAAAAAAAAAAAAAAAAAAAAAAAAAAAAAAAAAAAAAAAAAAAAAAAAAGGTATACCTTTCTCATATGTGGATAGTCAAGAACAGTACGGGAAAGAAGCAGAAAACAAAAGAATGATACAATAAGAAACAAGCACATGCACCTGGTAAACACAGAAGGGTAGATCAAAAAAGCGGTATGTTTCACTGTAAAAGAAGACAAAGTGAGGAAATGAGGTTTTAAGAAGCATGCATATAACTTGCATTTGCTAAATAAGTTGAAGGTTCTTAAATTTTGAAGAAGTCAAATGCATTTCATAGAATACACACAGATTAGTAATCCTAAACCTACACATTCTTTAACTAAGAGTTCTAGGACCTATTATTTCTGTATGTCATGTCAATTTTTCCTTGTACACACTCAATAACATGAGAAAGTTCATCAAGGACCATTTCTAGTTTTCTACATACATATTTCTGAAATTTCCCTTACGAATAGTGCAGTCCTATGTTTGGCTAACATGAAACGTATCTCAAATTAACTACCCAACTCTTTTCCTCCCCTTAGTTTGTGCATCAGAACTTTGTGCATTTTCGTTCAATGCAAACACGAATTGGTTGAACAATCATCGACTGATCTAAAGTTCAATCGATAAAACTTGGAACTAAGCAAATAAAACCCTGATTATCATAAATGAATCTAAGATCAAGCAAATTACAAACACAGAAACCCTAATTATCAAAATAGATCCACTAATTCGATGCAAGCAGTAGTAATTTTTTCGATCCTTTGTGTGAGTTTACTTGCATAAAGTTCATTTATTGCAATTTAGTAATTAGTAATTAGGTTTTAGTATCTGTTTTAGTTAGTTTAAAACTTAGAAAAAAAAATTTTGAAATACCACTGATCCTCGCCGAGTGCAATCGCACCTACTCGGCGAGTAGCAGTTTAGTCAACAGTAGATTTTCGTTATTTTTACAATCTTTTTGTTCTTTTTACGCTTTTTATTTTATTGATTTCAGGACTTTCATGACCAGAGGAGCAAACACACCACTAGTACCCCCGTTTGAAGACCCCGAATCCGCATTGAAAAGAAACAAAGGGAAGGACGTGGAGAGTTCAAGCACACCAAAGAAATCACCATTGTCCAACTTGAAGACTGTTTTTGGGAAAAAGAAGAGCAGTAAATCAGGAGCTTCTAGCGTTTCTTTGATAATTGAGGAGCCAATTCAAGAAGATATTGGATACGAGACCGAGGAAGAAGATGAGGCAACGTACGAGCAAGAAACCGAGTCGGAGGAAGAATTAGCGTTCACTATGGCTAACATTGATGAAATCCCCATGGGAGAATGGAAGAAGAGGATGCGCGACAACCATGGCCCGGGACTTGTGCAACCCGCAATTCCCGCGACTGCTACCTTCGAGCTAAAAGGTCATATCCTAGCTTCACTCAAGGAAATACCTTTCTATGGGAAAGATCATGAAGATGCCTACAAACATTTGGATGAAGTCAATGATGTTGCTGATTACTTCAATATTCCAAATGTAACCCGAAACTCAACTACTTCGTATGCTTCCGGTAACCTTCAAGGGTGCTGCTAAAGACTGGCTCAAGTCACTTCCCCCGGATCAGTCACTACTTGGGCCAGAATGAAGGAAGAATTTATTGATCACTTTTGCCCACCATCCAAG